GATGTTTGCTATGTATTTCTTATATCTTCTGATGCATGTACTCTTGATCTGATCTTATTGAATGAATCAAAGTTTTTCTCCATTGAATTATCTCATTTACTGTTTCCTTTTATTTGTCTTTTTAAAGTTTTTACTTTTTGCTTATGACAAAAAAGGGGGAGAAAATATAAATATGAACTGTTTAATATAACTTCACCAGAATGAAACTTCAGACATATTTATTCTATCTAACATTTTATCTGACTATTTCAGAACATTTGATAAGTACATTCTGTAAAAGAAACTCTGAGTCTCTCAGATCATTATGACTATTATCAAACTCTGAATATTAATTCTGCAAGACATTCTGATTTCAAATATTAAAAGAATAAACAAGATCTAACTCTGAAGATTACTCAAGACAAAAGGGAAGTTTCTATTCCTTATATGTATTTATCTCAGGGGGAGATTCAACATCTCAGGGGGAGTTATAATTTCAATATTTTCAACTAAACAAAATTTCTGATGTTTTTGTCATCATCAAAAAGGGGGAGATTGTTAGAACACATATTGGTTCTTAATAATATCTCTATGTTTTGATGATAACTATTAGGAAATTTTGTATTTAAGAATTATATACTCTAAAATTTGCTTGAGAGTTTTTACTGCAGATAATAAAGAAATTAATACTCCAGAAGCAAATATGTATTGAATGTAAGAAATTAACTAGACTCTGAAGCACCAGATGCACTCATTAGAAGATTCTGATTACTGCCAACAGAAGATTCTGAGCGTAGCCTCCAGAAGATTCTAAAGCAGAAGCTCCAGAAGAATCTGAAGCAGAAGCTCCAGAAGAATCTGAAGCAAGTCAGAAGCATCTGAAGCAAAGAAGAATGTTGTATGAAGAGTTTTTCAAAGCATAGATTCTATAGAAGTTTCTGAAAGTACTAAAACTTCCAGTACTGAAGTTCTGTTCCAAATATGCTCTGATATTTAACACGCTGAAAGCACACCTGCTGCAGAAGACTCTGATCCAGCAAGCTCTGATCATCATCAGAAGACTCTGACTCAATTAGACTCTGATGAACTTGCTGAAAAACTGAAGAAATAATATTCAAAGATTATATCCGTTGGAGTAAATCAAACGTCTCTTTCCTTATTTATGCTAGACACAAGAACACAGACAAAAATGATTTTTCTGTGCTTTCTTCTTCTAGGAAAGGTCACTTGATGTGAAGACAAAAAGGCTCAGACCTTTTGGGACACTCTTCTCAACGTGCATCTCCCTTGGATCAGCTGCCTATAAAAGCAAGTCTCCACCAAATTCTTCAGTTAGACGTTTTGCTGAAAAGAATTAAAACATTCAAGCTCTCATACTTTCATATTCTTCTTAGAATTAATTTCATTGTACTTAAACTTAAGAGAAATATCACTGTTGTGATTAAAGCTTTTTAGAAGCATTCTTACTCTTGTATTAGATTTACATTGATTGTAAAGGATTTCCTTAAGAGGATTCAGTTGGAATCAGTAGCTCTTGAAAAGACTAAGAACAGTTGTTCTTAGGTGTTACTATTGTAATCTGTTTGATTAAATAGTGGATTAAGTCCCTGTTTGAGAAAGGCAAATCACTCTAGGAAGGGTGGACTGGAGTAGTTGAGTTCAACGAACCAGGATAAAAATACTTGTGTTTTAATTCTAAGTTTTAATCTTTCATACTTATTCAACCCCCTTCTAAGTATTATCTCACCTTCATATGGTTCTCTCAAATTTTTGGGTAAATAAGTCTTGGTTATTAATTATTATCATGGTCTTCATCAATCATGATAAACACACAAGATTAATCAACTCATTCTCTCTAATTCACAAGCAACAACAACAACAAAATTGCACAAGAACAATGTGCAACAAAAAGAAATGAATCTGACATGCATTACACTCAAGAGGTTATTCTAGAGAAGAAAAGAAAGATTCATGGTGATGGATATAGACACACTAAGAAAAGAATACAAAATTACATCTTTGTCTCTATGGGTTTCACCTAATGTTTCACACACTTGTTAAAATGAGTCTTGTGAAACTTTGATTTGAATCAAGAAGAAACTATTATTCAAATCAATTTGAGCAAAGCCCAAATATGGATTCATAAGGTCAATTAATTCAAATCAATTTTTACACTTAATTCGAATCACATGAGGATGTGATTCAAATCATGTTTAGTTTGTGATTCAGAGGAAATGGTTCAGTGGCAATCCCCAATTTTCTCACAGCTTCTAATTCGTATCATGTTTTACACTTGATTCGAGTCAAACAACTAAAAATCTATATTTTAAGAGTTCTAACTTGTGATTCAAGCCACACCTGATGAAATGACAAAGTAGAAACTTGCTAGGCTAAAAAAGGAAACAATATCATGGATCAAAAATAAAAACACTCTTATTTAATTGAGCAATGAGGGTTCTTAGTGGTACATATCACAATAGCTAAAGCGATTATGATACTAATGAAATACGAATATCTTACAAGCACATGAATATTAAATGAAAGGAAAATTACAAATACGCAACTAGACTAGCTGAAGAAAATATAATCAAATTGACAAAAATATTACAACACATAAGAGATATCATACGATACCGTGACTTCACTTTCAATTGGTAGCCATTCGAGACATGCATTTAAAGCAGATGGATGAGAAGACAAAATTTCTTTCCCGTAATCTAGATGAGCAAATTTACATGGAGTAAACATAGGGGTTATGTGACATTGGACATGGAAGACTAGTTTGTAAATTAAAGAGGTGTTTGTATGGTTTAAAGCAGTCTCCAAGGCAATGGTACAAATGCTTCAATACATACATGCTTCAGATAAGCTATAGGAGGTGTGAGTATGAATGTTATGTTTATGTTAGAAGTCTTGATGATGACACTTTTATTTTCATGTTACTGTATGTTGATATGTTGATTGCTACTAATCATTTATATGATGTAAATGAATTGAAAATCATGTTGGAAAAGGATTTTGAGATGAAAGACTTAGGTGCTGCTAAGTAAATTCTTGGTATGGAAATTCACCGGAATATGAGTGCTAGAATATTATGGCTCTCTCATAAAAGTTATGTTGAAAAGGTGATAGACAAGTTTTACATGAGTAATTCAAAGATTGTGAGTACTCCATTTGCGAATCACTTTAAACTCTCATTGGATCAGTCTTCAAAGGCAGATGCAGAAGCTGTGTATATGTCAAAGGTCCATTATGTTAGTGTTATTAGTTGTTTAATGTATGTTATGGTATGTAATAGACCAAATTTAACACAAGCTGCAAGTGAAGTTTATAAGCTTATGTCCAAATCAGGAAAACAACATTGGGAAGCAGTCAAGTGGGATTTTAATTATTTGAAGGTTACTATGAGTTATGGTATCATGTTGAGCAGTGAAGCGATCCTTCAGTTGCATGATATGTTGATTTAAACTATGTTGGTGATATGAATGATATAAGATCTAAAATAGGACATGTTTTTACTTTACCAGAAGAAAGTATTGGTTGGAAATCATCGATTTAATCCATAGTGGCCATGTCGACAACTGAAGTAGAGTACATAGAGGAAGGTGAAGCTACCAAAGAAGCCTTATGGATTACAAGATTAGTGAGATAATTAAGTGTTGAGCAAGGTGGAATTCAATCGCATTGTGATAGCCTCAGTGTCATTTATTTGAAAAACATTGAGGTTTATTATGCTGGGACCAAACATATTGATGTGAGATTTTAAAAGATTAAAGAATTACTTGCATATAGATAGATATCCCTTGAAAAAGTTCATACTTCAGAGAATGTAATTAATATGTTGACCTAACCACTCATCAGTGACAAGTTCAGACATTGCTTATACTTGTTACATGTTTCACAGTGTTAAGTATGAGGTGTACCTTTCCAATTGCCAGGATGTGATAATCATGAAGAAAGTTTTCATAGGGGTTTGATATTTTTCCAAGAAAAAAATTGTTGAGTATAACTTATATTATGTGAAAACTTCAAACTAGTTTTAAACATTAATGTTTGTTTTTGTGGATAACTAAAGATTAGAGTTTAGGTTTAGAAGTATTATTGTAAATATAACCTTAGTGTATATATATATATATATATATATATATATATATATATATATATATATATATATATATATATATATATATATATATATATATATATATATATATATATATATATATATATCTAATTCATAAAACAAAAATTAATGGAACTATAGTTGCTTTATAACCGTAGAGGTAAGCACCAATGTCCAAATTATGTTAATAAAAGTTATTCGTGTTCATTGTCATTTACTTTGGTTTCTTTTTAATTTTTTATATTGGTAGTTGTTCTAACACTTGTTCAAGTCTTTTACCCTCTATATTTAATATATTATTTTACCATTAAAATATCAGTATCTAAAAACTAATTTGAAAAAGTATCTAAATCATTACCATTTGATATCTACAAAATTGTTTTCACATATTAAGAAATTTAGGGAAACGTAACTAATTTTTTCAACTTTTTTTTTCAAGATATAAATTAAATTTATTAAAGGATCATTTTTTTATATATAGAGATTTAACTATTCGTATCAGATGTTTTTGAATAAAATGAAATGTATATTCAAAATAATATCATTAAATAGTTTAGGACTTGAAACCTTTTTAATAGTTGGAAAAAGCACCAAATACTATTACTAAAACATAAAATTGTAAGAGAAACATTTTAGTATTAACAATGTTATTAACCCTCAGGGTTAGTCATCACTCATCACAAATTTCTTGTAGTGGTGCATCAAAACTATCTTGGATTCATATATAGTTTCTGCGTTAAAGCCTCATATTCGAAATACAAATTTTGAAGGTAACAACTGTATGATAGACAGCTGCAAGTGACAGATGAAACTAATTTAACTGAGTATACCTTTGTATCAACCTTTTTGTTACAGAAAGCTGTAGCTCCAATTCAACTACAAATTTTCAACTTTTTAACTACCAAAGGCTAATATCTAACCTCTGGCAAGGATCATAGCCATCATCTAGCACCTGCAGCCATAACTCTTCAAGCATTGTGTAAATGTTGCTCCTTTGTGAATGTGAGCTATCTTCAGAGAAGAATATATGGATCTTATCCTTGACTTCTATCCAGCTTTGACCAGGTACCTTTTGTACACCCATTTGTTTCATTAAGTTCCTTAGTTTAGCAACATCTTCCCAATTACCAGCAGAAGCATGTATGTTAGAAAGCATCACCATTGCAGCAGAATTGGAAGGATCGAGTTTTAGTATATTTTCTGCAGCTCTCTCTGCAATTTCTACTTTATTATTATGAGTTTTACAAGCAGCAAGTAGAGTTTTCCAAGTAGTAATGTCAGGGTCAAATTCCGATTTCTGAATAAAACTCTCTGCTTCATGCAAGCATCCGGCGCGAGCAAGCAAATCAACCATGCAAGAGAAGTGTTCTCTTGTTGGTGGAATTCCGTATTCTGTTTCCATGGATTTATATAAACACCAGCCTTCCTCCACTAATCCAATGTGACTGCACGCGCTGAGAGCCCCGAGATATGTGACCTCGTTAGGCCGAATGCCAAGATTTATCATAACTTTAAAGAGATAAAGAGCTTCATGTCCAAGTCCAAACTGAGCATAACCAACAATTAAACTACTCCATGAGACAATATTTAGGCTCTGCGTTGAATCAAAAACGTCGCGAGCATGTTTAAGTGATCCACATTTTGCATACATGTCAATCAATCCATTGCACACAGAGATATCAAGCACTAGCCCACTTTTAATACTAAAGCAATGCACTTGATTTCCGACAACTAGAGATGTCAGCTCAGCACAAGTTCCTAATAGAGTAGTTATGGTGATACTGTCAGGTTTATTTTCTGAAAAAAGCATTTGTTTAAATAATCTGAAAGTTTCTCCTTCTTGCTTGTGCTGCAAGCATGCTGAAAGAATTGCATTCCATGAAACTAAGTTGGCATAGCCACTTACATCTCTGAAAACATTCAATGCATCATATAGATCTGAGCACTTTGTGTACATGGTTAACAAGGAGTTGCATACGGTTACTTCCTTATCGAAACCGATTTTGACAATGTAAGAATGAATGTGCATGCCCTGGTTAGATGTCGTGGGGCTCCCACAAGCACAAAGTAAGGAAATAAAAGTAACACTATCTGGGATGAGTCCCGTCTGCATCATCCGACGGAAAAAATCTATGGCTTCATTAGCATCAGCATTGTCAGCAAATGCTGCAATAATTGCATTCCATGACACTATATCAGGGCTTTTAATTTGATAGAATGCCGTCTTTGCCGAAGGTAAAAAGCTGAATTTCGCATACATGTCGCAAAGGGAGCATCCAGCAAAAACGTTCCTGCCTAAACCAAATTTAGTGCACATTCCATGTACTTGCTTTCCATACTCTAGTTCAAAAAGGTTGCTGCAAGCACTGAAAACACTGCCAAAGATGAACTCATTTGGCTGATATACACCCTGCCTGAGCATATCTCGGAAAAGATATAAAGCTTCTATCCTATAACCTTGTTGAGTATATCCCGTAATCATGGAACCCCAAGAAATTAAATCCTTTGTAGAAATCATTGTAAATACATTTGACGCATCCGTGATATGTCCAAAATTTGTGTACATTGAAATAAGAGCATTTTGGGAAATCAAGTGATGACCAAACCATGATTTAATGACATGAGCATGCAGTTGCCTACCTAAACCTATATCCCCGGCAATGTAGCAAGCCTTAATTATGCTTCCAAAGGTTAACTGGTCCGGAAATTGACCTGATTGCATCATTTGAATATACATGACGATGGCATCGTTCTCTTGATTGTTCTGTGAGTATCCGGAGATCAATGAAGTCCAAGAGACCACATTTCGTAGCTGCATTGTGTCAAAAACTTCTCTAGCATCCTTCATAGAACCACATTTTCCATACATATTAATAATATGATTTTGGAGAATCATGCTTGGTTGGCAGCTGGATTTTGAAATGTGATCATGGATTTTCTTTGCGTATTCAAGTGATCTAGAGTTGGCGCAAGCCAAAACTAAACTTGTATACGTGCTTGGTTCAAGATGGAAATTTGGATTCTTTAGATGAATATCAAACACTTCAAGCGCTTCCTTGTAATACTGTTGCTTACACAACAGTATTATGTAACTATTAGTCGGTAGCTCTGTACTTAGATTGGAGACAGTTGCTGGTTGCAGAATAGGTCTTACATAATTATGCATACATCGAATGAAGCTTTGAATTGTCATAGACATGGAAGGGGTTTTTGAAAACTATAAAAAGTAAAATTATTGTTATGTTAGACGAAAACGGAAGAAATCTTAAAGGGCAAGATGGTTTGAGTTTCAGGACAGTGAAGTGGTTACAAATGAGTGTTTCTGATTCTGACTAAGGATCTAACAAAAAACAGCTGTAGGATGAGCAGAAAGTGAGTGTTTCCAATGTAAATATTAACACGAGCCATATCACTAAATGTGCTATATTATGCTAAAGTCACTTGTTATTTCTTACGATCTCTCGGTGGCAATTTGTCAAACAGCTACTATGCAACAAAATTGCATTCTAAAATGTGTACAACAAGGAATTGGAAAAACTGTGTATGTGCATAATGACCAACTTTTAAATAGTTTAACAACTCAAAATTGGAGGAAATTTATGGATTTCAAAATTTAAATTTTGAACTATAAAAAGTGATAATAACTGAAAATAGCGCACCTGAAAGTTTCTGTTTATGTTCAACGACAGAGAATACTAATGTTGTGTACTTATTCTTAGTTATTACAAAACAACCCAACTATTTTTTTAAATATAAAATTGATACATTAAGTGTTTACTCTCCTCTGGTTTGTATTTTTTGACATTTTATTTGTGACAAGAAAGTTTAATAAATGTTGTTACTTTTTTAAATAATGAAAATTCTTTTGTCTATAATCTTTTAAATATTTTATTAATTTATTGAGAAAAGGATGGTGCGGTGACGGTAAAAATTATCTTTACACTGTTATTTAATGATAATTATATATTTCACCAAATCAGCATTTAAATTTTAAATTATTTAATATAATTTGACACTTTAAAATATTTTGATTATATATATATATATAATACCTTTTACATTAACGGATTAAACTTTAATTTATTTGATTTAATTCTGATTAACGTGTATTCCACCAAATCAGCATTTAAATCTTAAATTATTTAATATAATTTGACACTTTAAAACATATTTTTTAATTGATATTTGATTTTCTTTCCATCACAACCACACATTTTAAAAATATGAAGCAGGTGTGAAACTGGTGGGGCAATACTTGAAATCAAATTAATATGCATGGACTTTGATCACCAAATCCCACATTATTATTTTACTTCTCAGTTATCAACCACCTATTTGCAATAATTCTATACTCCAAATATTCATTATGTTCATAATTACCTGCCAAAAAAACTCCACAGTCAAACTTTAATTAAATTTTTATGCACATTCCTTTAATTAAACTAGTCAACCCTAAATTGATCCAAAAAAACAGCAATTCCCCCTAAATTACAAATTATAAACTAAACCAAAATCTCATCACTAATCAGCAATAATCACTAATATTAGTTAAAGAGACAGCTGCTAAAAAAAAGATAGATTGGTACCATCTCAACAGCTATTTGGTATAAGATAGCAACTCATCCTCTCACTCTCACATAAATAATTCTTTTTCATTTTTTTTATATATTACTTTTGCTTCAAGTCACAACCAAGTGAAACAATTCCAAACAAAAACTAATAATTTAGTTTAAAAGTATCAATCATAACCTCATAACAATTCAAACGTTTTCTTTAACACCAATACTTAATACTTTACATTACATTTTAAATAACCCTTCTCTTCACTTCATTCTCTTCCAACCTGAAAATTTTTGTGGTCAATTTTTGTGGTCAATTTTTTTAGTAACATGGGTTCACTAGAAAGGTCAAAGAAAAAAACCCATTTATGGAAAAAAGCCATGCTTCATTTTTTTCTATGTTTTGTTATGGGTTTTTTCACCGGTTTAGCTCCATCAGGTAAATCTTTAATTTTTTCCAGCAAAATTGAAGTTGCATTCGCAGTTTCAAATGTAACAGAATTCGTAACAGCTGCACCTCAACCTTCTCAAATTTCTACGAAAAATAGTAACAAAACTTGGATAGCTTCGTCGCCGAAAATTCATAGCCAGAAAACAAAGTTGCATGCAAAATCTTTACCTCAGTTAAAGCCGAAAAGACTTGTTATCATAGTAACTCCAACCAGCAAGAAACTACCTTATCAAAATGTTTTTCTGAGAAGGTTGGCGAATACTATAAAACTCGTGGATCAACCGGTGCTCTGGATTGTCGTTGAAGCGAAAACGGATTCGCCGGAATTGTCAGAGATTTTAAGGAAAACTGGTATTATGTATAGACATGTTGTTTTCAGTGAAGAGTTTGATGATTTAGAAAGTGAATTGAATCATCAAAGAAATTTAGCACTTAGTCATATTGAACATCATAGATTGAGTGGGATTGTTCATTTTGCTGGACTTTCAAATGTTTATGATCTTCAATTCTTTCAACAGCTTAGAGATATTGAGTATGTTTTCTAACCCTTCTATTTGCTTCACTTATTATTAATTATTTTTGTTATGTCTTATATTGGTTTGTTCTAATTTAAATGTAGCTAGTGGGGGGAAGTTTTAAAAATAAATATTTTTTTTTCTATTGGATGAAGAAAGAAAAGGTTAGTAAGAAAATCTTTAGGTGCACCAAATAGGGAAGATGATGGTGATGATTTTAGTGAATCTTCAACCTGGTTCTCTAAATTTAATTCTAGGGACAAATACCATAAAAAAATATTTGAATAAATATTAATAATATTTTGGTATTAGTATATTAACATTATTGTAAAATATTTGTCATTAGAATTAATTTAAAAATTTGTTAATATTTTCAATAATTTATGTTTTTTAATTAACATTAATTCTTTACATATTTAAATTTAATATTATAAATTAAAATTGAAATATAATGTTATAGTTAATTTAATTTTTTAAAGTTTCAAGTTAAATATCAAAATATAGTTTAATATGTTATTCTATTTTAAATTTAACTAAATATATAAAAAAAATCATTGATTATGATATTTTATAATTACTAGGTGAGTTTTACAATTTAAAAAAAATTTATGTGTTTAATTATTTTTGTTGACAAAATAATAGTATGCTTTAATATTAATTATGTATTAATGTAATAATTGATCAGGGTGTTTGGGACATGGCCAACAGCATTATTACTTGCAAACAGAAAAAGAGTAATAGTTGAAGGACCTGTATGTGACTCATCTCAAGTTATTGGATGGCATCTAAGAAATATGAACAATGAAACAATAACTCCTCCCATTCATATATCAAGTTTTGCATTCAATAGTTCCATTCTTTGGGACCCTGAAAGATGGGGTAGAACTTCATCTGTTAAACACACTTCTCAGGTAATTAACCACTTCATAATCATGTTTAATCTCATTCTAAAATAGGTAATTAATTAAGTTAGTTTATATCATTCCTTCACTTCTTACAATTTTACTTGCGTCTAGTTAACATTTACCCAACTACTTTAAAAAGAAAACTCAAACGCAAGAAAAATTATGCATTAAGTAATGTATAATGACAACATGATTAACTAGTTGAACTAATTGAATACAACAATAGTACTAATTATGTAGTGTTTTCTACTCCATGTTATGTTTTCTACCAAACAATGTTGTTGCTATTTTTTTTTGTCATAATAATAATGCTACTTTTTTGTGTGTGGTTATCTTAGAATTCAATCAAGTTTGTGAAGCAAGTAGTTCTAGAAGATGAAACTAAGTTGAAGGGAATTCCACCATATTGCTCCAAAATATTGTTATGGCGTTTCAACTTCTATGCTCGTGCCATGTCCAAGCATTAACTTGTAGGATAATAGAGAGAATAAGGAATTTGAAGCAATTCACAAATTGCTTTTCTACTACAAAATATATGAAATTTATTCATTTTTTTACCTTTTGTAATTGTATTTCGTATATAGTTTTTTTTCTTTCTCAGTTCATTATTTTTGTTAGTTTATGTAAGAGAAGCAAAACATTTAAAGCATATTTGATAATTTTTTTATATAAAGGTACTAGAGTTTCTTGCATATTTGTTGTATATTTTTAGGAGATTTTAATGCACCATAAGTATTATTTATACACTTTACTGAAAAATTAAAATTATTTTTAGAATTCGTGGATGTATTTTCGAATGCACTTCATTCAAACACAATTATTTTGTTTTTGAATCACACTCATTTTTATGACTAAATTTAATTCGGAAATGTATATATGTGTATCTTATAAAGATGTATTTCTGGATTCTAATGAATCAAGAACAATCGCAGAAACAAAACAAATGCACAATCAAAGATAAATTATCATCGATAATTGTTATGACATTCATAAATATCGAAACATTATATTGATAATTGTTATGACATACATAAAAAAAAAAGGAACAATACATTTCATCATTAAGTAGGACGTTGCAACATCTTCAAAACATCTTAGACAGGGACAGAGCCAGAAAATTTAACTAGTTGGGGCATATTTACATATAAATTTATGATTATTTTAAATGTTTTTATTTTTAAATTAAGAAAATAAAATAAATGTTTGACATAATTTATTAATTAGAATATTTTATTTTATATTTAAAAATAATAAATAACAATATGTAAAATTTAGGTGCAAAATGTTGGTGATTTTAGTATCATCAATGTATTTTAGTAGTAATGTGATTTATTGTAGGCCGATACAATTATGCGTTAAGCTTGGAAACGAGTTAGGGTAGTGCGGAGTGCACGCTCGTCGAGCCAACGTGTAATTGAATGTGAATAATTGAAAAGGGGTTCCAAGGGGCGAAGCCCCTGACGGGGTGCGGGGCAACGCCCCGCTGGGGTTCCAAGGGGCGAAGCCCCTGGCGGGGTGCGGGGAAGCGCCCTGTGGGGTTCCAAGGGGTGAACCCGTTCGAAAGTTTTCTGAACAGTTGAACCCGTTCGAAATTTTTGAACAGATGTGTTTTTCGGTTTCTGTTATTAATCTCCTATATAAGGAGTCATTTGGCCTCAGTTTTAACATAAAAAAAAATCATACTTTCTCTCTACATTCCTGATCTGTTCTCTATTGTCAGAAGCAGATTGTTCTTCAAGAATTATCCCCACAAAGATTTCATGAACCCAGGCAAATAATAGGGTCAAAATACTTTGTTCGGAAAGTGTACGAATACGATTCCTCGAAGTTATCCAGAATTATCATACTCAAATTTCTAACAAATTAACAAAGTATTTTCTGATAATCATGGTTGGAGGAAGCACCATCAAGGAGATGACTATAAATTTCGGAAAATTGGACAAGTTTCAAGGACAAGACTTCAGGCGTTGGCAGAAGAAGATGCATTTCATGTTGACAACGTTGAAGGTAGCATACGTCCTGTCTACACCGATTCCAGAACTTCAGGAGGAAGACACGGTTGAAAATATGAGACGCAGATCAAAGTGGGAGAACGACGACTACATATGCAAAGGGCACATTCTTAATGGTATGTTTGATCCCTTATTTGATATTTATCAAAATATGGAATCTACAAAGGAATTGTGGGATTGTCTCGAATCCAAGTATATGGCAGAGGACTCATCCAGTAAAAATTTCTTGGTAACCGATTTCAACAATTACAAAATGGTTGAATCGAGGTTTGTCATGGAACAATTCAATGAACTCCTCCGAATCCTTGGACAGTTCACACAACACGAATTGAAGATGGATGAAACAATATCTGTCTCAAGCATCATAGACAAGTTGCCTCCTTCGTGGAAGGATTTCAAACATAATCTGAAGCATGGAAAAGACGAACTGTCTTTGATCCAACTTGGAAGTCACTTGCGCATAGAAGAATCTCTAAGAGCGCAGGAGGGTGACAAAGGAAAAGGCAAAGAAATTGTTGGACCCTCGGTTAATATGGTTGAAGAGGGTGGTAAGAACGATAACAACAAAAACAAAGGAAAGAAGTGTGCTTTCAAGAACAAAAATGACAGTTTCGGTGCTAACAAGAAACCGAAACTAGAATGCTGGAAGTGTGGCAAAACAGGCCACTTCAAGAAGGATTGCCGTTCCGGAAAAAGGCACGATAACGCGAATGTAAGTGGTTCAGGAAAGGGGTCTAAGGACCAATCTGAAAACCAAGGTCAGAAATCAATTCGTGATTTGAATAGTCTAATTAAACATTTGGTTTCACTAAATTCTGAAGCATTGTATGTGCAAGATGATGCTATCGCGTGGTGGATTGACTCTGGCACCACAACACATGTTTGCAAGGATCGTTTTTGGTTCAAGACTTTTGTTCCAATGGAAGATGGTTCTGTCCTCTACATGGGAGATGATCACTTCGTATTGTATGTTCCTAAACTACGTAAGAATTTAATTTCTGGTCCTGTATTAAATAAGCTTGGATACAAGCAAGTGTGTGAATCCGATAAATATGTATTATCGAAGTCTGGTGTGTTTGTAGGATTTGGATATTATAATAATGGTATGTTTATGATGAATTTGAATGGAGTTCCTAATGATTTTAGTTCTGTACTTATGTCCTCTTCGAATATTATCAATTCATCGTTATGGCATGCTCGTCTAGGACATGTACATTATAAAAGAATGCATGAAATGTATAAAGATGATTTAATTCCTGTTTTTGATGAAAATGTAGAAAAGTGTAAAACTTGCATGTTAACAAAGATCACTAGGCAACCTTTTAAAAGTATAACAAGGAAATCTATCATTCTTGAGTTAATACATAGTGATTTATGTGATTTGCATGCTACTCCATCATTAGGGCATAAAAAATATTTTGTCACTTTCATAGATGATGCATCTAGATTCTGCTATGTTTATTTGTTGCACGCTAAGGACGAAGCCTTAGATAAATTCAAAATTTATAAAACTGAAGTTGAAGTGCAACAAAATGTGTTGATTAAAACATTACGTACAGATATCGGTGGTGAATATTATGATCCTTTATTTTTTCAATCCGTAGGAATCATTCATGAGACTACGACACCTTATACACCTCAACAAAATGGTGTGCCTGAAAGGAAAAATAGAGTTTTTAAAGAAATGGTGAATTCCATGTTATCTTACTCTGGTTTGAGTGAAGGGTTTTGGGGAGAAGCTATGTTAACAGCTTGCTATTTGTAAAATAGGGTTCCTAATAAAAGGAACAAAACTACCCCATATGAACTTTGGCATAAGAAACGAGCCAACTTAACATTTCTACGTGTTTGGGGCTGTAGGGCCGTGGTTAGACTCCCGGACCCAAAAAGGAAAACTTTGGGTGAAAAGGGTGTAGCTTGCATCTTTGTTGGATATGCTGAGCACTCCAAGGCCTATAGGTTTTATGTTATAGAACCTAATGACTCGATTTCTATTAACACGATTATAGAATCGAGAGATTCCATATTTGATGAGAATTGTTTCTCTTCTATAGCTAGACCAAAGGACTCTATACCTAATTCAGATGAATCTCTAAGGGATGATCATTCAAATGGTGTGCCAAGTGAGACAGTTGAACCCCGTAGGAGCAAAAGAGCCAGAAAATCTAGATCTTATGAATCTGATTTTCAACTATATCTAGTTGAGGGATCAAAGGATCAGATTGATGCTCAATATTATTATTGCTATAGTATAGAGGAGGATCCAAGAACGTATGATGAAGCTGTGAAATCTCGAGATTCTGTTTTTTGGAAAGAAGCAATTGATGAAGAGATTGGTTCTATCATGGAAAATAATACTTGGGTATCATCTGATTCACCACCAGGCTGTAAACCATTGGGTTGAAAATGGATATTCAAAAAGAATATGAAAGTCGATGGTACAATTGACAAGTTTAAAGCTAGATTAGTTATCCAAGGCTTCAGACAAAAGGAAGGGATTGATTATTTCGATACCTATGCTCCAGTTGCCCGTATCACTACTATTAGATTGTTGATTGCCTTGGCGGCTATTCATAATCTAGTGATTCATCAAATGGATGTCAAAACAACATTTTTGAATGGTGATTTGGAAGAAGAAGTGTATATGAAGCAACCTGAAGGATTTGTAATGCCTGGTAATGAGCATAAAGTGTGTAAGCTAGTTAAGTCGTTGTATGGGCTGAAACAAGCTTCGAAACAGTGGCATCAAAAGTTTGATGAGGTTGTTTTGTCTAATGGTTTCATTCTAAACCAAGCTGACAAATGTGTATATAGAAAATTTGATACACCCGGTAAAGGAGTTTTCATTTGTCTATATGTTGATGACATGTTGATATTTGGCACCGTCCAAAGTCAAATTGATAAAATGAAGAATTTATTATCATCAAAGTTCTCCATGAAGGATATGGGAGAAGCGGACGTTATTCTTAGTATCAAGATTAAACGGGAGAATAAGGGAATTGTAATTACGCAATCTTATTACATTGAGAAAATACTCAAGAAGTTCAATTATGAAAGTTGTTCTTCAGTAAGTACTCCCATGGAACCGGGAGAAAAGCTTATGCCAAATACAGGTAAACCTGTGGATCAAATCGAATATTCAAGAGCTATAGGCTCTTTGATGTATGCTATGATTAACACTAGACCAGATATTGCTTATGCGGTTGGAAAGTTGAGCAGATTTACTAGTAATCCTAGTAGACATCATTGGCATGCGATAACTAGGGTATTCAAGTACTTGAAGGGTACTATGAATTATGGATTGTCATATATGGGATTTCCTTCGGTGTTAGAGGGTTATTCGGATGCTAGTTGGATAAATAATGCTGAAGATTCATCTTCTACAAGTGGATGGGCGTTTTTGCTTGGGGGAGGTGTCATCTCATGGGCTTCTAAGAAGCAAACATGTATAACTG